ATAAATAGAAATACCACTTGACTCTTTTCGTCTCAGAGTGAACTAATTAATTCATATTGTGTTGTCACTTTTTGTTGTCTGCGGGACTCTGACAACAAGTTAACATTAGAAGAACGATAAGCTCTTCTGATCATCTGCACCAATAAAAAAGAAATATACCTACACTGGATGCAGATCTCACTCGAACACTCATTTCTACATAATTCTAAATTGAATTTCACATATGAAACAAAAATAAACCGAATTGTTTGCCAAGATCCGATTCCAGGAATGAAACAACGGAGAATCTGTAAAAATTAAAGCTTTTTATCAACAGAACGACGCGTGATTCATGCGTTTATGAGTTAAAGAAATTATTACGACCAAAGATCTGGTGATTGCTTGGATTTTTCTTGTACGAATCTTCCGACGGAATACGAATATCAAACCAGAAAATTTTGATATGTTGATCTGTTCATGGCATATTTTGCCTTTTGTTCGCTTATTATACTAGCCGTAACAAGCGGCAAGCGGCAATCTATAATACAATCTACGATACAATCAATAACAATATCAATTATATCTGCTACTTACTACGCATATAGCATTCAAAAACACGGTACATACAAATAAATTTCAGAAGGACTGAAAATACGTTCATGTGCCGTAAATAACCCACTGCCGTACCAAGAAAAACACCAGATCTAATGGTAAAAACATTTTTATTATTATTGCTTAGGTGGGTGGACGAGCTCACGGCCCACCTGATTTTAAGTGGTAACCGGAGTGCATAGACATCTACAACGTAAATGCCGCCACCTACCCTGATATTAGAAGTTCTAAGGTCTCCGTTTTTACAGTACAACGGCCGCCCCAACCTTCAAACCGACACGCATTCTGCCTATTTCTGCTTCACGGCAGAAATAGGCTGGGTGGTGGTGCCTACCCGTGCGGACTCACAAGACGTCCTACCACCAGTAGAGACATATTCATAGACATCAGTCCGATACACTTCAAAAACTTTTAGATCTTGTAATGTATACCTATCTTCATTATTGTATCTAATTCGCGGACCGTATCTAGCTGTTATCTGCTTTTACCTTAGAGCCAAGGTTCAAGGAAAATATATTTAGTTGCCAATGTGTTAGTAATTGTGGTTAGCATTGCAAACCGAAAGACTTTCTTCTGATATATTGTCTTTTACAGAAATACAACTTTCACTGAAAAGGTCGATATTCCATACAACATATCACAGATATCTTGCACAGTTATAAGCAGTTTTTGTATTAAGCATGAGACCTTCAAAAACCAGTCAGGACACGGCCCTAAAGTGTCTCAAAAGGGTACCAGCGTTACAGACACTCGGACTTACCTTAAGAAACCGACTCGGATAACCGGTTCTTTATTTTCGAGTTGCATTCTCGTTTGAACTCAGCTGCTAAATAAACAAAGCCTTTTGGTCGAAATAAGTTATTTATTGAAAATTGTACACACAAATGTATTGATTTTATTTAAGGCGTTTTACCTGTGCCTTTGACTCACAAGCACGTATCGTATATACATACTTGCTCTTATGTTTTGTTTCTCTTTTGACGGTGAAGTTCCGGGTCTTGTTATTTTTACAATAATTCGTTAACACTCATATACATTTTATCCGTGTATACAACCAACTAACTACAAATATCGAGATTATTTATTTGTCTTTTAACGTTTATGAACGTTGAAAGCCAAACGCATTAACGGTTCACCGTGGGATAAGTGTTCATCGGAGCCCGTGGAAATGACAAGAGAGACCAACTTAAAGACGTGCCAGTTTTTGGCAGAGCTGCGAACTTTGCGAAGCCAATGTCTCATTTGAATCAAAATAAAAGAATGTTACGATTAATTATTTGCTTACTTCCTGTGACATAATGTTATTTAACATCAAAGTATTATTTTATATTCAACATTTTTTTCCTACCTATGCTGATAGCCTTGAGAGACTATTTCAGCTTCACCCTAGCGTATAGGTGAGTTCACGGAGCTCGAACCGGAAGTGTTGATAGCACTAGCCCTAGCAAGAGCAGTGCTGCGCAGAATCTATCACCGGATTGGAAACGCGACCCACGAAGATGATCCGGCGAGAAACTAAGTGGGTTTATATTCAACAATGACATTTTTTATCCTTAACAAAAATTTCGTCCAAACTACACAGTAAACACAATATTATATGCATAACTAACATGAGATAAATGAATCGTCATGTAAATAATGGACATTTAGATTATTATTATTATTGTACTTTGCACTTACGGCTCAGTGGCAGTCTCAGTTATGTTGGTACGCTTTTCTGCCCCGGTAATGGCATATTAAGCTACTGCTTCCATATTATTAAAGACTATAGGTCCCGCAGTAGTCGAAATTCGACTATAATTAATTGGAATTGTAAGTTTGTACACTATTATGATTGTATTTTATACTTCTATAATCACAAATTTCGCCAAGACTACACTATAAAAATATTAACAAAGACAAACAATATTTAATCTATTCTCAATTTGACAACATACGTCAAGAACAAAAGTTTGACAATAAATAGTATGCATGCGTGTGTGCGTCAAATACATGGTATGTAGTGTGTGTAATGTTTTCTTTATTGATTTAATGTATCTTTCATGCATTATTTAAAAAAATATTAGTGTGGAAATTATATTCTCTATAAGTGTGGAAAATTTCATACTCCTCCGTCCGCGCAATTTTCGTAGAAAGGGATACAAAGTTTTTGCTTCACGTATTAATATTATTAAAGATATGTGGCGCTAAACCTATTAAAAATGTTAAGGTCATCCGGAATTTGAATTGACAATTTCATATATCGAAAATACTGTGATTGATACTTAAATTTGAAATGTCAAATTGCTTCATTTGTATATAATTCGGAATGTTGAAATAGTTTTCGTCTTAAATGAGAAACATTTTTTTCAATTACCACTCGCATAACGCAATGAAACACAAACAGACAGTTATGACACCTACATGAAGAGATTGACTAATACAAATACACTGCAGTAAGATATGTTTGAGTCCAAGGCGTTTTGGAACTGGTATCTATATTTTTAGCAACGGCTTAATAATTTAAATAAATAAAAATATTCAAAAGTGGGTAGGAACGATCGACACAGAATATTAAATCTAAGACAAGTGAACGCTGCGCGCGCTTCCAGCAAAAGTGATCCGAGGTGGCGTGATGTCCCCGCTGGTCGGTCGGTTGCCCCTCCAGATGACGTCACGAGTCCACGTGAGTGCTCGTCGTCAATGGCTCCGCCCATCGACTTTGACTTAAGAGGAAGTCGCCTCNCCAGTAATTACGCAAATTATAATTTTGCGGGTTTGATTTTTATTGCACGATGTTATTCCTTCACCGTGGAAGTCAATCGTGAACATTTGTTGAGTACGTATTTCATTAGAAAAATTGGTACCCGCCAGCGAGATTCGAACACCAGTGCATCGCTATATACGAATGCACCGGACGTCTTATCCTTTAGGCCACGACGACTTAAGTTAAATAATGCTGTACCATCATTCGATTAAAGATTATCCAGTTGGGTCGTTAAAATACCCGGCGTATCAACCGATGCGACTGCTAGCGTCAAAATTATGTGAGATACGAATTGTTACACACGCGCCTGGCCGCCATTATTATCAGCATTATGGGCATTTCAATAACAAAATATGTAGACACTTAATCCTATCATATTTTGAGCTCGGGAGCTCGTTACAATAAGAAATCAATTTTGGTTATAAGAGAAATGATGTTTGGTACTGCGTGTCTTTTTTATTGATTAGATGGTTGAACGAGTTCACGCCCCACCTGCTGTTAAGTGGTTACCGGAGCCCACTGACATCTACAACCACCTTGAGACAGGAGTTCTCAGGCCTCAATTGTTACTATACAACGGATGCCCCACCATTCAAATCGAAACGTGTTACTGCTTCTCGGCAGAAATAAGTTGGTACCAATCCAGTGCAGACTCACAAAGCGTCCTACCAACAGTAATTACGAAAATTATAATTTTTCGTGTTTGATTTTGACTACACAATCATATTAATTCACTGTGGAAGTCAAGGTTTGTTAGGTATGTAAATATTTCATTACAAAAATTGTTACTTGCCTGCGAGATTCGAACACCGTTGCATCGCTTGATACGAATACACCGGACGTCTCGTCCGGGCCGGTATATACACCGGGACACGACTTCAAACAAGGTAATAAAAGGTCCAGCCGTTCTCGAGTTTTAGCGAGACTAACGAACAGCAATTAATTTTTATATACAGTAAGTAGTGGGTAAGTGAGAACTGGATAAGTAAGAAAACTCTATAAGTGAGAGTAATAGCAAGGACCCGTCATTTTAAGCTCCCAAAACCTCTATTAGCGAGAAACAGAAACCTCTGTAAGAGAGAGTCGTTTTTTCCTCATAGACCTCCGTAAGTGAGACTGCTACCTATCTATAACTCTATAAGCGACAGCCGAGCTTTATTTATTTATTTATATTATTTAGGAGGAACAAATGACAAAACAAATTACAAATTTAACATCTGCTATTTTATGACTCATTTTTAACTTTCGTAGAACTTCCTATCATTGTTTTTGTATTGTTTTCTCGTGAATATTGAACCTATTCTATTTCGTGGAACTAAATAACGTTGTTATTTTATCGTATTCTTTTATCGCATTATTTTCGAATGGACACGTGTGCCTGTGTACCGTCCTATTTGTCGGACTTACTCAGTTTATCGTTAATCAATTGCGAAGGAAAGTTCTGTTCTGGCATCATAAAAACGGAAAATTAAATTACTGTCATTAAATCATAAACTTAAAATAGTGAATGCATTTGAATGCGGAAAATCGCGAATCGAAATTCAGAGGGAGCATTAGCGAGAAACTCGGATTTTGAATATTGACAACTAAGTTATTTTATAACCTTTTTCATTGGACATTTGTATCAAGGGAATAAGTTTAGTATTACAAATAAATTATACAATGGTTTCACATATCATTTAATTATTTCAACAACGGCTTCTTCTTTTTCAACCCACACTCTGTGATCTTTATTTTTTTCAGCTGGCAAACCTTTTCTCTCGCCACAGATGTTACATTTCCATTCTATTCTCTTTGATTTATTGTGATTTCTTATTTTCATATTAGTCGATACATTTTCTATGAGGATGCTTCTACACTTTTTGCATATTTGCCTTTTTACCTCTGGGTGTCTGAAACATTTATAAAAAAATATTTCTCAATTTCAATTTTAGTTTAATTTAAGATTTTGTCAATCTCATAATTCAAATCATAATAGTAAAAAACAAGTTCAAATCGTCGTGGTTTAAATGCGTACTCGGCACACTGTCACGACTGATTTCTACGAACAAAAATAAACCAGCAAAATTTGTAAATATCTATAATTACAGGTGTAAGTAGTAGGTGTATAGTAAGCCTTTATTGGCAGTCACAGGTCCCGATTTGATGGGTGCGACAGCCGTTACACATTACAATTGAGACATCAACCTTATTTCTTAAAATGTAATGATTATGGCTTCTTTGCGGTGTAAAATATTGGGTCTCAATGTGACGCTTAATACATGATGATGAAATTATATGAGTAACAACCCATTTTAGCTGATTCTACTATGGACAACTACAACACCCCTCCATCCTATACGACTAGGTAGCACTTCCCTTCTGACCCATAAAAAGTTAATCCGGTAACACTCCAAGTAAGGCATGTGTTTGTTCACCTGTCTGGTATTAAGTGGTTACCACTGCCCATTTACATTACAAAATGAATACTACCACCACCCTCCTTGAGACAATACGTAAATGCCTCTTTTTATATTTTACAACAGCTATTTCACCCAAGAAGCCTGAGTGCATGAACACTTCGCAATAGACAAGAAAATGGTACAAACACTTGCAGACGTCTACCCTACCACCGGTAATTACACTTTTAAATCCTTGAATATTATACTTGGATATATGGATATTATTTTAATCGTTACATCAACTCAAAGAACACTACATACTTTTTTGGAAGGGCAGTTTTTAAACTTATTGCTTAGATTGTGATTTTAAAATAATTGAAAAATTTTAGACTTACATTTTGAGGACATTCTTTTTGGCTATATTTACTACAAGATTCCCGTAATATGAAGATAGTATTGTGTTCTTGGAAGCCATCGCTTTACTTATCTAAAAAAAAACAATTCTATATATCTCAATTATTATATATCTTACTTGATTACATGAGGAAAAACATAAAAAAAGTCAGAGTCCTAAGCATTGTATCATTCAATAAGTTGTTGAGGCCGTGTTCACGGTCCACTTGATGTTTAACAGAAACTGAAGCTCATAGAGACTACAATAATAATGCCAAACTATCCAGCTTGAAATATAGATTAGTCTCACTGCACAGCTAACTAACATTCAAGCTGGAACATATGATTGGTTCATAGCAAAAATTGACAGGATGTCGGTTTCTCTATGTAAACCAAGGCTATTCGCAACATACCTGATACCCTGCTATTAGTAAATTTAATATTTCTGTCTCTTTCAAACTTATACACACACAAACAGTATCAACTAATGTGATAATTAGTTTAATAATAGACTTTAAATTTACAAGTCAAAACAGTCTTGTTTTATTTTTTTTCTACCTATTCTAGTAACCTCGATGGCTATACTAGATTCACTGAATTAGTAGGTGAGCTCACATGGCTCAAACCTCTCAACTCAAGACTAAGTACCTAAAAGCACCATTAGGGGATCAGGAGGATCCCAAATGACGTGTTTAGGTTGACGTCGACTGTTTACTATTCGGTCCGCAGGATCGGGAATGTCACAACAGCTGTGGTGGCCAGGACACTAGCAAAGAATTTATGATAAAGAGAATGAAGGCAGCTTAGATCCTGGACCTTAGATAAATGGGTAAGGCATGATTCTGGCATACAAAAGCTAGAAGTAGAGCAAAATGGAAAGAAGCTGAAACAATGGATTTTAATGACATGAAGGTATTGAATCAAGTTGAGACTTGGTTGAGACAAGGTTGATAGTCACATTTAAACTTCGTAACTTCTACCTCCTGGCTAAGCCCGTGCTCGCCCACCTGTTCTGGTGAAACTGGAAAGACCTTGGGGACACCGGTAAAATCTCCTTCCCAAAAAAAAAAACAGCGCCCCGTCCTAGGCTAGCAAAAAAATCGATTTCACTTAAGTGGTGTAAATTTAGAATTTGAAATTATTTCGGATTATTTCAATATGTAGGTGTACATACTTACTTGATATAAATAATTGATTCGTTGAAAAGCATCGTTTCCCTGTATTTTTTGTCGCATTTTATTTTATTTTAAAAGTAATATAATTGTTGTTTTCTGTTCTTATTACCATATGATTTTATCCGTGGATTTGATGAAAATTTAAGAAAAAATTATTACTTAATCTTTGATTTCAACTTGTTCGTTGGAATTTTCAATCAATTTTTTACACTTTTTGGTTTATTAAAACTAAATAAAATTGATCATCGAATCCTAGAACGACTCAGCTGATTGCACTAACAAAACGTCCAGAAACGCAAAAGTAAACTTATAATCCGTAAGCATATTATTTATCTGTGTCAGTCTATCGGATTTTGTTAAGTTCATTATTTTTACCCAAAAACTGATATTTATTATAAATAGCACAAGCATAATAGTACTTTTAGATAGGTACAAAATGATTTAATAAAAAAATATATTCGAATTTCATTTTTATCAAAAAATCTGTTCAGAACGAAAAGGTCCAGATCAAAACTTAAATGGTAGGTAAAAAAAAGTAATTACGCAAAATGATTTTATTACCAAATACTTTGTATTCAACTAGTCTCAAATGCAATTAGAAGCGACAACAATTGTCTAAAGAAGGAATTATTCGTAACGCAATGCTTATTAGGAACAGGACGAACGTTAAACAGAAGCCGTCGCCCTCTCAGTGCTTTTCACCGGTTTTATTCCAAGCATCGGTCACAATTCTTGTCAAACTTGTCGACCGCGACAAAGGAGTCATCATGCAACTTAACCACGGACAGAGCCTACTGAGTTTTTCACTGGATCTTCTCAGTAGGTCGCGATTTCGATCCCTTTGAGATTCACCGGAGCACTGATTTTATTTGAGCTGATGTTTAATGTAGCTATTATAACCTATTGAGGTTATTAACGAGCACTGATATTCCAAAAAAAGAAAAGAAAATGCTTGCAAAGATCATCAGAGATGATTTGATTCTGAATATTGTGACTTAATGTTTGATTGTTTAACTTTAAGATTGATTCTATTATGCTTTAGCTTTACATATTAAGCGTCAAGTATTTGTAATGTACAGAAAAGAAGAAGATTTTTTTAAACTTGAAAATAAGTCCCAAGAATTTAAAAATTTGTCGACTGGCGTCAGCACGTCAAATGCTTGGCGAATTTTATTTTATATCCAATGCGATTATACCTTAACTAATAAATATCTTTAAAACTGTTTAATCTGTTCGTCCAGACTCCAAGTCAAAAGGTGTTTCAAGCACTGAAGTATTAAAGGTCTATAGTTTCAAGACTGTCAACTGTCAAAGAAAATTATCAACATTCAGTCAAACAACATCAGTCAAAGTTTTTGCTTGATATTGTCTAATTTAAACTTATTTTTAGTGACTTTCGTTAATTGGCGAACTTATAATATAGATATTATTATGAAAAGTAAACAAATCATTAAGATTATTTTTTAACTAAAACCATAAATTCTATAGTACTTCTAATATCATAACGGGTGTCCTTTTTGACTCTCAAGATCATATACACAAGAAAATGTTACATAAAAAATGTATATTATTAACAAAATTGAAGACGAAAAGTCGGTACTACTGTAGATTTCTCTCATCACAAGCCAAACTTGGCGTAATTGATATTCCTTTTACTAACGGGTAAGTTTCGAGGTTAGAATATTTAAGGTTATAAATCGGTACATATCAATAAAAATATATAACAATTACAAATCTACCAATTCCTTTTAGAATATTACAGTAAACTCAATAATTTTCATAACTTTGATATAAATAAAAAATAGCAATAAAATACTAATTTTATAAAATCGATAACAAAATTTAAAAGTTTTAAAATTAATTCCAATAATTTTCAGGACCACCCTGAAATTGTCCACGGGCCGTTACGCAAGATTCGCAGATGGAGCATGTGTTGTGTCTCTCGGTAACACAAGCGTGCTATCAACTGTTGTGTCAAAAGCTAAACAAAGTCCCACTTCATTCTTACCACTCACAGTTGACTATAGACAAAAAGCAGCAGCCGCAGGACGAATTCCTACCAATTTTTTTAGGAGAGAACTGGGTAAGACATGTTACAATCAGTTGTCAAACATTTAAGCCAACAGATTTGTCAGTCAATTCATTTTAATACGCTGAAGTCAAATAAAATTGGCTCTATCTACTGCATAACCAATATTTTCATAACTGATCCTGTATAAATTGCATTCATTGGATATAAAATATAATATATGAGCCATTGTATAATAATTGTAATTGAGAATTCAGTTTCATTTTTCAAGGTTTAATACTGCTATTAATGTCTAGACAGCATTGCTGCAAAAACTGACAAAATACGCCAAATAGCAATCTGAACTAATAATCAAGTTCATCTTTTTTTATTCTGTTGATGCTAGTTAGCAGAGGGAAGTTGTAAAATTATTGTTTTTGATGTGTCCAAATTTTCAAGTTAAATGGACCTCTTAAAGTTGGTAAAAATGATGATCAAATACCAGCAAATATACATGCATACAAAAGCATGTCAAAAATGGATAGATTTTATTTTAACTAAACAATATACATAAGCACTAGTTACAAAGAAAAACTACATAATACCAAGACAAATTTATTTTAACAGGTCCATCAGAAAAAGAAATTCTTACTTCACGAGTAATAGATCGTTCTCTACGACCGCTCTTCCCGCATAACTACAACTATGATACACAGATAGTATGCAACATGTTGGCGATGGATGGAACGAATTTGCCTGAAACAGTAGCTATAAATGCGGCAAGTGCAGCACTTGCACTCTCCGATGTGCCGTGGAATGGCCCTGTTGGTGCTGTTCGGTATTAAAATTTTCATAGCTTACACAAATATTAAATTAAGCTTTTCATTAATCTTTAAATAAATTTAAATTATCATAAGTTTTGTGTAATCTATATATCTGTATCTATCTCATAATTCTTCTTTCAGATTAGGTCAAATTGACAATGAATTAATAATAAATCCAACACGTAAAGAATTGGAGAAGTCTGTTTTGAACTTAATTGTGACAGCTACCAGCAGTAATCTAGTAGTGATGCTGGAAGGTAGCGCCTCTGACATCCTACAGCAGGATCTACTCAAGGCCATCAAATTAGGTATGAATGTAAGTTGATTTTTTAATCAGAATATTTTATATGCTCCCGTATATAAATAAAAACGTAACTTTTAAATGAGTTGCCTATTCCTCTTAGGATGATTACTATCTCTATATCTATTTTCTAAAATTGTCGCCAGTCACAAATTATTAAAATATTTTTCAATATAGTAATACAATTTGATAAAATTAAGCTGTTATAAACTTGCTGTTTTCATTATATGGCTCATGTGATGGCAGTTGTTAACAGAGCTTATAGATATCATGTGAATGTCACCACCCACCTTGGAACATGGGGTCTAAGTCCCTAATTGTATAGTATAATGGCTTTACTACCTTCAACTTGGAACACACTGCTGTTATGAGGCAGAAGTAGGCTATGTAGTCTTCTTCTTTTTCTTCATCTTATCCCACTAGGTGGGGTCGGCAAAGCTGATTTTTCTCTTCCGTTCTCTTCTATTAGCCTCCTCTCTCTCTCTCTCTCTCTCATATCGTCATGCACACACTCCATCCATGTCTTCTTCGGTCAACCTCTTCCTTCTCTGTCTTGCACTACCATTTTTTTGCATCTTCTCTCTATGCATCACATGTCCATACCGCACTTTTAAAAAAAAGTAGGCAGCGGCTTGGCTTTGCCCCTGGTATTTCTGAAGTCCATGGGCAACGGTAACTATTCACCATCAGGTGGGCCGTATGCTCGTCTGCCTACGAGGGCAATAAAAAAATAATTAAAAAAACTAACCATCCACTCTTTAATTGTTAATTACCGGGGCGCTACTTTCACACTTCCTTTGATATACTAGTAAGCTATGTAGTATAAGTAGTAATGTGTACTGTTATTACTATCACAAAAACACTTGTCCCTTGTCATACTAATTTCATTATGTATCTAATGAACTTATTATTTAGTTTGGCACTATAGATACTATAGAATATGTAATTACAGTTATTGAATGATTCTGAGGAGACAAGATTTACACAACACACATTGATAGTGACAATAAAAATGCTCTGAACCAAAGTTTTATTTCTATCTCTTTCAGGAACCAAAGAAGCTCAACAAATTGTGAGAGGGATAGAAAAACTGCAGAAGGATCATGGTAAAATGAAAAGAGAATATGAAATTCAACCACCTCTAGAACAAAACATTGTTGATACTATCAAAATATTATCTTCTATGAAAATCAGAGAAATATTGAGGTAAACACATGTGTTTTAAATTAATTAGGCCTAATTCTTGAAGTATTATGATTATATTTATGAGGTATTATTATTAACAAACTAGCTGATCCGGCAGATTTCGTAGTGCCTCAATCGATAAATAAAAGACAAAAGGAATCCGTCTAATGGGGGACACATCAAAAGACAAACAAAATTGTTATTTTTATTTAATTCCGAGAATTTTCATATTTTTCTACCTTTTAAACCTTCTCTGGGCTTCCACAAATATTTCATAATCAAAATTACCCAAATCGGTCCAGCCGTTCTCGAGTTTTAGCGAGACTAACGAACAGCAATTCATTTTTAAATATACCTAGTCAGGTCATAAATTCTGTCACATGTTTAATGTAAAATAATTGAAACATGTTTATTCATTATGTAACCATTCATATACCAAAATTAACTTAACAAAACATAGATTCTTATGACACTAAAGTTTATTCAAAATGACCTCCGTGATTTTGAATACAGGCCTTCAATCTGCGCGGCCAGTCGTCTATCGCAGCATGAACGAGGTCCATGTCAATATCGGTGGCTGCCTTAATCAAGGATGTCTTGAGTGACTCCAAATTGGGATGAGGCTTTGAGCACGCCTTTTCCTCCAAGTGTTGCCATATCTTGTAATCTAACGGATTCAAATCTGGACTGGAGGAGGGCCAGTCTTCGTGCCGGATGAAGTCGATTTCACGCGCCGCCAGCCAGTCTTGNGCATCAGCCCGCTGAGTTTCTCGCCGGATCTTCTCAGCGGGTCGCGATTCCGATCCGGTAGTAGATTCATTCGCGAAACAATTGCTCTTGAGTTGTTAGGTCTCCTTCGGAGGCGCTCGGTCAGTTGTTAGCAAATCCCACCCCTCTTGGCTGAGCCTTTGCTCGCCCACCTGTCCTGGTGAAACTGGAAAGGCCTTCGGGCCACCAGCAAACTTTCAATCATAAAAAAAAAAGCTTATAGATATCATGTGAATGTCACCACCCACCTTGGAACATGGGGTCTAAGTCCCTAATTGTATAGTATAATGGCTTTACTACCTTCAACTTGGAACACACTGCTGTTATGAGGCAGAAGTAGGCTATGTAGTCTTCTTCTTTTTCTTCATCTTATCCCACTAGGTGGGGTCGGCAAAGCTGATTTTTCTCTTCCGTTCTCTTCTATTAGCCTCCTCTCTCTCTCTCTCTCATATCGTCATGCACACACTCCATCCATGTCTTCTTCGGTCAACCTCTTCCTTCTCTGTCTTGCACTACCATTTTTTTGCATCTTCTCTCTATGCATCACATGTCCATACCGCACTTTTAAAAAAAAGTAGGCAGCGGCTTGGCTTTGCCCCTGGCATTTCTGAAGTCCATGGGCAACGGTAACCATTCACCATCAGGTGGGCCGTATGCTCGTCTGCCTACGAGGGCAATAAAAAAATAATAAAAAAAACTAACCATCCACTCTTTAATTGTTAATTACCGGGGCTACTTTCACACTTCCTTTGATATACTAGTAGGCTATGTAGTATAAGTAGTAATGTGTACTGTTATTACTATCACAAAAACCCTTGTCCCTTGTCATACTAATTTCATTATGTATCTAATGAACTTATTATTTAGTTTGGCACTATAGATACTATAGAATATGTAATTACAGTCATTGAATGATTCTGAGAAGAAAAGATTTACACAACACACATTGACAGTGACACAAAAATGCTCTGAACCAAAGTTTTATTTCTATCTCTTTCAGGAACCAAAGAAGCTCAACAAATTGTGAGAGGGATAGAGAAACTGCAGAAGGATCATGGTAAAATGAAAAGAGAATATGAAATTCAACCGCCTCTAGAACAAAACATTGTTGATACTATCAAAATATTATCTTCTATGAAAATCAGAGAAATATTGAGGTAAACACGTGTGTTTTAAATTAATTAGGCTTAATTATTCTTTAAGTATTATGATTATATTTATGAGCTATTATTAACAAATTCAGATCTTTGATTGGTATAAAACCATTTATATTTTTGATTAAAATGCATGATGCATTCTGGTTTTAAGAGTATGACAACTGTGGCTCCAGGTAATTTTGACTTCAACCTCACATAGAGGAGTTTGACAGCATCCACACTGTTGTTCTGAATAATATTATTTTTGACGTGACAACGTCTTATAATTCGATGGAGCCGGCTGCACGCACGAAAAAGCATGACTTATGCGGCGCTACCTCGCTCTGATGCGTTCCATTTAAGGCTTGAAGTGCAAGCGAGAGCGCGCAACGAGCGACAAAGAGGCACAATCGGCCTCCACCTTCGGCAGCGTTCGACATCTTTCTTTCTCCTACTTGAGTGAGCGATGCATCCGCGTGGACAGCTGCTACACAATAATACATTTACATGTTTTCGTCAAGTATGAAGTTCAGTGAAAAGTGAATGTGGTGTCAATTCTTTATAGCAACGATAATTGCGGCGATTCGAAGAATCAATTCAATAGTGAATTCCATTTACCTCCTTCTCTATATCCATACAAAATATCTATCAAACAAATAAAATTAAAATTTTCTTTTGAAAAATTAAACCATTCCATCAGTATTTTCATATGACGTTGTCACGTTCAACTATCGTCAGTAAACCGACTTTACAGACAACCGATTTTTTTCAGTGACTTCACCCACGATAAGATGTCCCGGGACAACGCCATATCCGATCTACGACAGACCGTGCTGAACCAGTTCCGGGACACGAACTTGGACGTGACCCGCCTTCAGGACTGCTTCAATGAGAACCTCAAGCAGATATTCCGCGAGATGATCTTCGAGACTGACACGAGATGCGACGGCCGGCATCTTGATCAGCTCAGAGATATTAGCTGCCAGGTAAGAGTGGAGGTTACATAAAATATTTTTACAGAGACACCATCCATGAAATTACTGAAGCTTTTAATCTACTTGTCTGTGTAACGCAATTGTATACATTCGCTGAAACGTTTCGAATATGATCCTTAAATATTTTTTTTACCTGTGAATTCGTTCGTTCATTTATATAATTTAAAAACTTCAATATGAATAAATAGTTAACAGATAATAATAATAGATTAATAGATACTTTTTCAGTCATTCAATTACTTAAGTTTCTTAACGATACTCTTCACATCTTTATACTATTTTTTTTATTTTCATCCTGAGTACATGCAACTTTATAAATAAGCAAAGATCCAACAAAGAATACAATGTGTACAGAAAGGTTTGCCACGAATGATGTTGTGTTGGGTCGTAAGGCAGTATTAAAATTTATTCATGATTTAAAATGATAATTTCACCAAAAGAATGATTGGATTTCCTTTACATAAATTATTATCTGTTAAAACTAGTTTTTCCAAGTCTGTCAGTGTGATTGTAGGTGCCTGTCATCTGTTCGATCTAGTTATTCGAAGGGACTTTTTGGCGGGAACGCGAGAAGTGAATCTGTGTAATTTGTTCTATTTTGTCTATTTAGTGTTTCTTCAGATTTAAATGTATAATAACAGTAGTTTATTGTAGCTGTAGTAACGCTTGTAGCTGAAAGTAAATATTGTACTTTTTGACGAAGCATGTTGCCGATAACCCTGTTTCTATAATCTGACGAAGCGTGTTGCGGTTTATTGACTGTTCAGTATCTGTGAAAGTGCACAAATGTGGGAAAATTAAACAGAGCCGCTGGACGTAACTTCTCAGGATCCTCCAAAATGTCCATGCAAAAAGTCTCAGTAACTGACCACCATTTTACTAAGATTATATTTTATCCCATATCATCTCATCTCATTTCATTTAATTTCACTCCATCTTATAATCTATCTTCTATCTATATATATAAAAATGAATTGCTGTTCGTTAGTCTCGCTAAAACTCGAGAACGGCTGGACCGATTTTGCTAATTTTGGTCTTGAATTATTTGTGGAAGTCCAGAGAAGGTTTAAAAGGTAAAAAATATGAAAATGCTCGAAATTAAATAAAAATAACAATTTTGTTTTCCCTTTGATGTGTCCCCCGTCGGACGGATTCTTTTTCTTTGTTTTGTTTTAAGTTTATTTTATACAAAAATTTAGGTCTTTTATTTATCGATTGAGGCACTACGAAGTCTGCCGGGTCAGCTAGTTTTTGATAAAAATAAGAATATAAATTAAAATAAGACATGACTTAAAGGGCTTAGTTACCGGGTCATAAAATCTCTTAAAACAAAAGTTATTCCAAGTGTGTGTTGCGGTCGCAGGTGTCGCTGTACGAGCCGCTCCACGGTAGCGCGGTGTTCCAGCGCGGACAGACGCAGGTGCTGTGCACCGTCGCCTTCGACTCGCCCGACAGCGCGCTCAGGGTGGACACGCTCACCATGCTCACCAGGTGCTCCGCTGACCACCACACGTGCGCTCCAACCGCAGATCTGTCCTGCGATAAGAAAGCACAGATAGATTTTTTTTCAATCACTTAATACGAAAATTGTTTTTTATTGCTTAGATAGGTGGACGATCTCACAGCCCACCTGGTGTTAAGTGGCTACTGGAGCCCATAGACATCTACAAAGTGAATGCGCCACCCACCTTAAGATAAAAGTTCTAAGGTCTCAAGTATAAGTATATAGTATAGTACATAGTATAAGTATATAGTATAGAAGTATATAGTATAGAAGTATATAGTATAGAAGTATATAGTATAGAAGTATATAGTATAGTATATAGTATAGTTACAACGGCTGCCCCACCCTTCAGACCGAAACGCATTACTGCTTCACGGCAGAAATAGGCAGGGTGGTGGTACCTACCCGCGCGGACTCACAAGAGATCGTACCAATTAATTTTCGTAATTTTGCGGGTTTCAGTTTTATTACACGATGTTGTTCCTTCATAGTTTTATTTATTTATTTTTTTATTGCTTATATGGGTGGACGAGCTCACAGTCCACCTGGTGTTAAGTGGTTACTGGAGCCCATAGACATCTACAACGTAAATGCGCCACCCACCTCGAGATATAAGTTCTAAGATCTCAGTATAGTTACAACGGCTGCTCCACCCTTCGAACCGAAACGCATTACTGCTTCACGGCGGAAATAGGCGGGGTGGTGGTACCTATCCGTGCGGACTCACAAGAGGTCCACCAGGAATAGGAAAATAGGAGGAATACCACCAGTGATTACGCAAATTATAATTTTGCGGGTTTTGTTTTTTATTACACGATGTTATTCCTTCACCGTGGTAGTCAATCGTGAACATTTGTTGAGTACGTAATTCATTTGAAAAATTGGTACCCGCCTGGGATTCGAACACCCTGTAGGTCACGACGACTTCATTAATATCAACAATTTTAAACAGCGGAATCAAAGAGAAAAGTTTCTTCCTGCACTACGAGTTCCCGCCGTACGCGACCGGCGAGGTGGGTCGCACCGGAGCCCCAGGGCGTCGCGAGGCCGGCCACGGAGCCCTGGCCGAGCGGGGGCTGCTGCCCGTCGTGCCGCAACTACCCTACACCGTCAGACTTACAGCTGAAGTCTTAGAATCGAATGGTATTCCATCCAACACGTCCTCGTTTTCACTACCAATGGTTCAGTCCCATTATTTTTTGATTAGATTAAAGTGTGAAAAAAAAAAGAAAACAAAAAACGCTTTTATAGAAAACCCAACTAAAAAATAGGAAATAAATTTTAATAAATATGAATTAAAAATAGTGATGTGAATAGTAATGAATTTTCGTATGTCCTCAATAAAGTATACCAAATTTCGAGTAAATCCGATGTTTTGAAAGGGGTCAAAATCATGTTCAAAGATTCCGTTACAAACATACATACGAGGGCGGCACTGAACATTTCGGGAATTAACGAAGTGACACAACATTACTATTTAAAAATGTATTTATTGCTTTTCGAAGTATTCTCCGCGAAATTTGACACATTTTTCCATACGATGGAACCAATCATTGAAGCAACCATTCCATTCGGAAGTTGGGGTCTCCAAAATGGCCGTTTTGTAGGCGTCCACAGCTTCTTCAGG